TTTTTTTTTTTTTTTTTTTTTTGTGGAAATTGCAATAGGGAGCAGCAGCATTATCCCACGGTCTGATATGGTTCGGCACTAGCTGTCATTAATCATTAAAAGATTAGTACCTGCTGACTGTGGGGTTTTCTCAAATCTAATACCATTAGTTCCAGTCCTCCAGAGAAGCTTAATTATGGTTATGGTTACCTAAAAAATTTTAAATGTGTACACAAAGATAATATAAGTATATTTAATTTAATTGTATTATCAATTATGTGATTTAATAACAAAATTATTTATGTTTTTAATATAAGTTAATGGTACAATTCTTATTCTTTATGTACCAAAAAAATAATAATTTAGTTTGATTATAAAAATAAACATTAGTTATAATTGTTAGTTGATAATAAATAAAATAATTAATAATTTAAAATTAACTTATAAACTAATATTTTCAATTAATTTAATTATTATAAATTAATAAAATCAAACAAACTAAACGCACTCACATCATTCTAGTGTTCTTAATGTGGTTTTGATTCTGATGAGGATTCTGCAACTGCAACAGTTTCCTGCAACTGCAACAGTTTCTGAAACAGAGGATTCTGGAGCAAAATTTTGATGCAACAGATTTGAATTTTGAAAGTAGTTTGTTTTGCTGTTTTGATTTTTTGTTTAGATAAAGATAAGGATTAGCTTTCCTTGATTTTCTCCTTTTATTTGCAAACTATGTAACTGCTTCACATCCAGACTTGTATATATATATTGTATCTGTCACTCATGATGAATATATAAAAAATCTTTCACAAAACTTTACATGGTATCAGAGCAAAACTCATGGCTTCCGATGATCCGCCAAATTCAATCAACAGGAGTGGAAACCAAACTACTGATTTTTCATCCATTGATCAGTACAATAATCCCTTTTATCTTCACCCGTCAGACAATCCTGGCAATATGTTAGTGTCAACTCCTCTCACCGATGACAATTATGCTACATGGCGCCGTGCTGTTATCATTGCACTCACTGCAAAAAACAAATTAAGTTTTGTTGATGGGAATTTGCCGTAGCTAGCAAGTGATTCTCCTAATCTTCAATCATGGACTCATTGCAACACCATGGTAATCTCTTGGTTGCTCAATTGGCGAAGCGTGAAGGGGAGTTGTATCTATTCCGGTCAAATTCTTTTGCCTTGAATGTTCAAATTCCTTCTACCTTTGATATTTGGCATTTTCATTTAGGACATTTGTCCCATCAGAGATTGAATTTTCTTTCTCAATTCAATAAAGAAATTGTTATTAATGAAAATTGTTTGTGTGAGGTTTGTCCTTTGGCTAAACAACATCGTTTGCCATTTCCTTCTAGTAGTATTTCTACTAATATTCCTTTTGAATTAATTCATGTGGATGTTTGGGGACCTTTTTCTCTTAATTCATTGTCAGGAGCTAAATATTTCTTGACCATTGTAGATGATTTTTCACGTTGTACTTGGGTTTATCTCATGCGATATAAATCTGAAGTAGCATTTTTTTTTAAACAATTTGTTGCTATGGTCAATACACAATTTAGTGTCAATATTAAGAAACTTCGCAGTGATAATGCCCTTGAATTCTTAAATTCTGATCTACAGTCATACCTTTCTACTCATGGAATTCTTCATCAAACTAGTTGTGTTTATACCCCCCAACAAAATGGTGTAGTGGAGCGAAAACATAAGCATTTGCTTGAAGTTGCACGGGCATTAAGATTCCAATCCAACCTTCCTTTAAAATTTTGGGGTGAGTGTATCTTGACTGCTACTTATTTGATCAATCGCATGCCTACTCCTTTGCTTGGTAATCATACTCCTTTTGAAGTTCTACATAATGTCAAGCCTAACTATAGTCATTTACGAGTCTTTGGATGTTTATGTTTTGCATATAATCATCATCATCCAAATAAATTTGATGCCCGTGCTCGTAAGTGCATTTTTCTTGGTTATCCTTTTGGACAAAAGGGTTACAAACTTTATGATTTGGATACAAAAGTTGTCTTTATAAGTCGAGATGTTGTCTTTATAAGTCGAGATGTTGTCTTTCATGAGACCTTTTTTCCTTTTAAAACAGCTCCTACTACAGAAAATAATCATGTGGTTTTGCCTATTCCAATCAATGATAATGAATGTAGCTCTCTACCTATGGAGTCTCCTGCTAATAATATATTATCATCCACACCATCACCCATAATTTCGTCACCTGTAAGTCCATCACTGTCATCACCTATTTCTCCTACACATGCATTACCCACAAATGTGTCATCCTCATCACCAAATTTACATCTTGCCCAACCTTTAAGGCGTTCCACTAGAACTCGTATATGTCCTCGATACTTCTCCGATTATCAATGCTCGCTCGCCACTACTCAATTGGACTCCAAGTCAGGTACACCATATCCTATTAGTTCTTTTTTATCTGCAAAAAATTTATCACCAAATCATTATGCTTTCCTTGCTTCTATTTTGAGTATGCATGAGCCTTCTAATTAGTCTCAAGCTGTTAAGGATGAAAATTGGAGACAAGCAATGGAAACAGAGATTAAAGCTCTTGGGGATAATCAGACTTGGATTCTAACTGAGTTACCAGAAGGTAAAGTTCCCATTGGTTGTAAATGGGTCTACAAAATTAAATATAAAACTGATGGTACAATCGAGCGGTATAAAGCTTGTCTTGTTGCCAAAGGTTTTACTCAACAAGAAGGTCTTGATTATCATGAAACATTTGCACCTGTGGCTAAATTGGTTACTTTGAGGTGTTTGTTAGCAGTGGCAGCGAATCAAAATTGGTCTTTGCATCAGTTGGATGTTCAAAATGCTTTCTTACATGGTGACTTACATGAAGAAGTATATATGAAAATACCACTTGGTTTTTCTCGTCATGGGGAGAATCGTGTTTGTAAATTGCAGAAATCATTATATGGTCTAAAGCAAGTCTCTCGCAATTGGTTTGCTAAACTTTCTAGTGCGTTATTGGAGGTGGGTTTCTTGAGTTCTCCTGTGGACCCTTCACTTTTTACTCGGATTAATGGTGCTATTAAAATGTTTGTCCTTGTATATGTTGATGATATCATAGTTACAGGGAATGATGTAGCTGCTATTTCCTCTCTTAAGTCATTCTTGCACAGCAGATTCCATATGAAAGATCTTGGTATCCTTAAATATCTTTTGGGCATTGAAGTTGCAAGATCATCCAAAGGCATTTTTCTCAATTAGAGGAAATATATTTTAGACATTCTTCGTGATTCCGGTTACATGGGTTGCAAACCTTGTGCATTTCCCACGGATCAAAATATCAAGCTTGATACATCTTCTGGTGAGTTGTTGTCTGATCCATCACTTTATCGTCGGCTCGTTGGTCGACTTTTATATCTCACCATCACACGGCCATATATCACATATGCTGTTAATCTTCTTAGTCAGTTCATGCATGAACCACGGCAGCCTCACCTGGATGTCGCCATTCAAGTTTTGCGTTATCTCAAGTCCACACCTGGTCATGGTCTTCTCTTACCAGCCTCTGGAACTCTTCAACTCACAGCATACTGTGACTCAGATTGGGCTTCTTGTCCCATAACAAGACGGTCTACTACTGGTTATTGTGTTTTTCTTGGTGGCAGTCTTATTTCCTGGCGTACCAAAAAGCAGCATGTTGTCTCTCGCTCTTCCACTGAAGCAGAGTATCGAGCCATGGCGTCTGTTACTTGTGAACTTACTTGGCTTCGATCCTTACTTCGTGTTTTGGGTATTTCACATCCTCAGCCTTCCTTGCTTTTCTGTGATAACCAAGCTGCTCTTCATATTGCAGCTAATCCTGTTTTTCATGAGCGCACCAAGCATATTGAGATAGATTGTCATCTAGTTCGTGAAAAATTACAAGAAGGTCTTCTATCTACTGGGTATGTTTCTTCATTTCAACAATTGGCAGATTTCTTCACTAAGCCTCTTGGTACAAACCATTTTCATTTTTTACGAGGCAAGTTGGGCCTTTACTCCATTCAGGCTCCAACTTGAGGGGGAGTCTTAATGTGGTTTTGATTCTGATGAGGATTCTGCAACTGCAACAGTTTCCTGCAACTGCAACAGTTTCCTGCAACTGCAACAGTTTCTGAAACAGAGGATTCTGGAGCAGATTTTTGATGCAACAAATTTGAATTTTGAAAGTAGTTTGTTTTGCTATTTTGATTTTCTGTTTAGATAAAGATAAGGATTAGCTTTCCTTGATTTTCTCCTTTTATTTGCAAACTATGTAATTGCTTCACATCCAGGCTTGTATATATATATTGTATCTGTCACTCACGATGAATATATAAAAAATCTTTCACAAAACTTTACAAGTGTGATTAAGCTCTAAGCTTTAAAAAATTAAAATCTTATGGTATATTTTTTAGGTGTCATACTTATTGTTTTTTTTTTAGTACATTCAATAATGGATTAAAAAAAAGGTCCTTGTGACCTAGTTATCACATCTTTTTTGTAAAGGATTTTTTATGTTATCATTAGCAAGTGTAGGTTTCAAATCCCACCCAAATGTTCAAAAAAATATAATGAATTAAAATTGCTTTTTCTGGTACATCACTTGTGTAGGTTTTTTTTTTTTTTTTGCATGTTTTGTACATCAAAAAATTATTTGGCTGTCATACTTATTTAAGAATGTCTATATTTAATTGTCATACTTTAATTAATGATTGTTTAGGATCCTCTCTAAAGAGGAAGCAATTTTAGAACTTACTCTACTCCAAAAATACCTCTAAAAACAAACAAAGAAAAAGACAAAAAATAAAATAAAATTAACCATAGTAATTTTGAAATAATAATTTAAACAATAAGAGGTTGTATTTTTGAATTTATTATTTTATTTTGAGGTCACGTAGAAATTGATCTACATATAAGATAATTTTTATTGTCTAATAATTGTCAAAAAATAATTATAATGTACCTCTATGGCACACTATAAAGGAATATTTAGTTTTTAATTATTACTTTCTTTGATCTTTTTTAGTTATTTCAGTCTCTCAAATTTATGTAAATTAACTTGATGATTTTATATAATAAATAATATTAATTGAAATTTTTTTTCATCTAAATGAAAATACCTAACAAAAATTATGTATAAAATTTTTTTTTTTTCAATTGTCACCTATTACAATATAAAAATGTGTGGTCAAACTTTATCCAAAAGTTATACTAAAACAACTAACTTCCATAGGAGGGAGTTTACTCCATCCGTTCAAATTTAAGACATAAATTTTGA